AGCTTGTCCTCATGATTTGTGTGGGAGTGCGAGAGTCTTCTGAACTCGTGGGTGAGATGATAGCAGTGAGTTATGTTCTCTGGCGAGACAAAGTCCTCGGCCACCTTGATGCAGTTGTGCAGATTCTGGACTTGATGCGGTGCTCCGGCTGGTATGAAGACAGCATCCCCCAAGCACTGGACAATGGGGTGTCCCTCCACTCCGTATTCCTTGAACAAACGGGCCCGCAACTTGTCGTCCAGATACCAATTCTGATCGTGGATAGGATCGTGATCGGGCTCCAGGCGGAAACCCTTCTCCAGAGTCACACGGTTAAGCAAGTCCCTTATTTTGTCTGCATCGCGAGCCGGAAATATGTGCCACAACGCTCCGGGCAAGACATCCGGCGACTGGCAACGAGCTCTGGTTATATAATCGCAACCGCCGAGAGCAATGGCTTTCTGCGTGGCCGCCAACTGCGGCTTAGTGTCCCCGTCCTGGGGGATTCCTACATAAACCATTATGTTGACTGCATCCGAAATGTCCAGATGAAGATTGGTGGTGCCCTTGTCCGGATGCAAAGCCGAGCCGTAGGCATTGTACATCTTGGGCCCCAAATCGGGTGGGACAAACATTTTGGGCAGACAGCTAGCAATGTTAAGGTTTCCCGTTCGCAGAGTGTACTCCGGCATGGGCAGTCCCTTCATCAGATCCGCGAACCTGGTGGGTAGTATCTCGGCAAAATCATCACCCGGCGGCCAATCCTTAAGTTTCAAGAGCATCGGCTTGCCATTGGCATCTAGCAGACGCTTGCCCATGCACTGAAATCCCTCCCAAAAGTGTCGCATCGGCTGATTGGGCACCAGATTTCCATTCAGGCAGTTGATCAGATCGTTGGGCTTTTCGCCAAAGTCACGACAGAAGGCCTGCGGATGCCAGAGGTCCAAGTTCAAAGAGCGAGCCACCTCCGAGATCATAACAGGCTGGCCACACTTCCACACCTCCTGGTAAAGGACTCGATTATCCGGATGCATGGCGTCTGTGAGGCGCAGCAGCTTGCCATCGCAGAGCCACTCGTGTGGAACACCGGGTGCCAACTGAGTGGAGTGGGCCAAAGTCATGGCCCTGGGCGGAAGGAATCTTCTCAGACCGGCTAGCCCCTTCCTCAAAAAATTAATGTGCTTGAAATTGTCAAAAGCCGTGGTTATGGGGTCCTTTCCCAAGGTCTCCTTGGTCCACACTCGCCCTGGCACATAATCTATGCCCCGCTCTCTGGCGAACTCCAGCTTCTTGGCGTGCAACTGTTCAAGGCGCTGCTGCTGGTGCAGCTTCTGCTCGGAGGCCAGCGAGGAGAAGCTGGTGTGCTGTTTCAACTGGGACTCCTTAATCATGTCCTGAATCAACTCGTTTAGTTGGGCGTCCTCGACCGCCTGCTTGCTCAGCAGACAGCCGCACACCTGTGGCACCTGCCACAAAGAGCGCACCTCGTGCAACAGCCTGCCCAAGACATTCAGGGCATCTCCGGCTATGATCTGCGTCAACATCAGCTCGGTGAGGGCGTGTTCCTGGGGGCCACTGGGATCGGTGCAGAGGAGCCAATGATACTCGTCGCATCCCTTTTGGGTAGCCGTCTCCACGCGTCGCAGTCGCTGCCCCTCCTTGCGATCCTTGAAGCAATCCAGGCACACCCCAAAGCCGCACTTGCGACAGGTCCAATGATAGTTGAACAGCGTCGTGTCACACACATCGCAAATCTCTCGGGTGCCCTTCACGGCCTTCTTCCAAGCGATGGTGCCGTCTGGGTTCTGATGCAATCTCAAAGCCTCCGCCTCCTGGCGCCACAAGTAACAAAACTGATCGCCGGCATGGAGCAGGATGTACCTGCAAACCTGTATGTCCATGTAACCGCTGGTCGGGGCTGTACTTCCATCTGGCTGCCAAATGGCAGTGTCCTCCGGTGTGGGCTCGCTATAGGGATTGGGGAAACCAACCACTCCCAACTCTCCCTTCTCATTGAACTGCAGGCGCCGGAATTCATAAAACCGGCAATAGACATCGTGTACGGCGCTGGTTTCACCCTCTTTGGGTGCCACATTTCGCCTTCGGCACTCGCGACACTTGGGAATCGGCGAGGAGCCTACTGCTGGCTGTGCTTGCTGCAGCTTAAAGCAGGGTAAATCTTGCAAAAATATCGATCCACTGGTCCGGAAATCATTGTATCGTTGCTGCTCTTCTTGAGTCAGTGGCGGCAATTGTTCCAGGTTCTCTTCTTCCTGCTGCTGAGCCTGATCCACCTTCACATTGGCATGCTCCACATCCCGGCAAGTTCGCTTCGTGGAGGAGGAGTCATTGGATATGTGTATCTCTATGATGGATTTTGGTTCGGAGCGAGTGGACATTGGAGATGTTGCCGTCGAGGGCACGGTGCGCTTTCGACTTGTTCTTGAGGCGACCAGCGCCGCCAATTCTTTTTGCGACATTTCGGCTCTTCGGTCTTCGGAAACGAGAAAAGATGGAAAAAAGAAAGATCGAGGTTTGAGGGTTTTTCTTTTAGACTCTTCAACTGGCGCCCTGGTAATGCTTCTCGTGAGGAGGTGGCTGCTGCTCCGTGCTCCCTGCTCTTGCTGCGCAATGTTTTGTTTACTCTACGCCTCGCCTCTCGTTCTTCCGTTCGCGTTTGGCCGAATTTCGCGCTTCTTGCACACGATTACAACGCGCCCGGTGTTGCAACATTGCCGGTAATGTGGCAAACAACTTTCGTTGGCTTTCTTCTTCAATGCACACGCATATTTGAATGAATAGAGCAGAGCTTTAAGAGAATACAGCACAACTACTCACTGCCTCCACATTACCAGGCACACAGAAAACACTTAAAAGTAACTTATATTAGCTTACATTACAATAACTTAATGATTTGGACAGTAAGGCAGAACGAAACAGTAAAAATCCGTTTCAAGTTATGAAAGAAATTTATTCAAAGTAAAATACCACACACTCACAAAACTAGTTTTGGTCAAAATTGATGTTTTACTACTTGATATTTCATTTCTGATCATTTTGAAGCAAATCAACTATAATTACATAAAGGCCCACCGTAAACTACGTACAAACTACAAACTTATTTGGAGCAGAGATATTTACTTTTGTAAATAAATGACTATTTGGTTTCATAATCAGATTATTTGTGTTTGTCAAATAGATCACGAGAAATCAATAAACTACTGATGAAGTTTTAATATAATTGAGCTCTCTAAAAATCACGTATACGTAATGATGTCATAGTTACAGTCATGTTTAAAGAACAAAGATACTGTTAAATTTAAGTTAAGAAGGCCAATTTATATCAACTTATTTCTTTGAAACAAATATAAACATTATATGTTGTATATTCTCGTGTGAAAGATAACTACAGTCCATAAAAAATTCCAAATGTATGTACGTATCACCATAATATGGGCGTTACAAATTAAAAGCTAGCAGAATTCTTGATAAAGCCCTCTAAAAACTCATTCCAAGTTTGGAGAACCGAAAATTCCTCTATTTGTTGCTACTTTTACTAAGAACACGATAATCAAATGGAGGCAAACGAAACCTTTTGGAAAGGTTATCGCACGATATGGCGAGGCTTCCGGGGATTGGAACTACTAACAGCTCTGTTAACAGGGGCAACAAGTGTCGCCGAGTCCAGAAATACGAACCGCAGGGAAATGCAAACCCGAATAATTGAGGCGACACCGAGAAATTAACCCCTGGCTGACACATAAAAACAGAGGAGCAAGAAAACCTACAAACATAATGACTTGTTTTGTTTTTTGGGCGTTCACCGCCGAGCAGAAGTCTTACGAAAATCGGGAAGAGAGAAATGAGAAAAGCACGGAAGGCCAAAGAAAACCCTACAAGCTACTCCACCCCCTTTGCCAAATTGATCAATCAATTCTCTCTCTCTCTGACCTTTTAATTCGATGAAGGTCTGCACTTTATATAACGACGAACAATGGTATTGCCCGAATTTTTGTACACTTCTCTGGATTTATGTTCCCTGATAACGCCGTCAGATAAATATTTATGTATGCTACATTGCACTGCCCACTTACACTACCAATTCCGTGCAGCTCGGCAACACTGTCCTATTACTACATCGCTCTAGATTTGTTTTTTTTTCGCTTTTGGTCAATGAATTTGTTTTTGGTCGTCCATTTAGAGGTGCAAATTTGTTGAATTTGCTGTGATAAATGCACAATTAATAAGCACTTGGCACTGCAGGGAATGCATTCGTTGCAATTCAAAACCGCTGCCTTTGTCGAGTTTTATCAATTTAAATTTGTGTACTGAATGCCACACACACTAACACTCGCACTCACGCACACACACACCCACACGGAAAACTTGGCGTTCCTGCATACCAAGTGGATTGGATGGATAGAACAAACAAGCCATCTTTTCAACAACTTATTGCAGCACCTTCAGGGGAGTGGCCACTTACATTTACTTATAGCATGCTGGGCAACCGCTTGAGTGTAAATTCTGTGATACTTTGCCCGTGTAAACTTTAGTTGATTAGGAAAAAATTCGATTTTTCATTAGCACAGAGCGAAGCGCAGCTAGAGCTAGTGGTGGAGAAACATCGATGCCAGCATCGATTAGTTCAGAGCGCGAGTGGTTGAAAACTTGGACGCCCTTATCGATGACATCGATGTTTTCAAAATATCGGTCTAACCGATGTTTGGTAAGGATCATCAATGTTTATCCATCTCCAGCGAGTTATCCAAAAAATATATGTAACTCCAGTTCTGGCACACTTTATCTACGTTTTGAAAAAAAAATCCTTGTATTTTTCACTTTATTGTGTCTTTAACCATAACAATGTGAAGGACTTAAAGCGGAAATATGAATCGGCTTAAGAAATATGGCCGTTTTAAATTTGACTTTCCGCCAAAACAACGGTGACCGTGTTCAATATTTATATATATCGATATATACTGGGACACAAACCTTGCAACGGTATCGCTTGCTGCCAAGTTCTTCCAATTTAAAGACGGTCACACTCTCCGCCGGACAGCTGTTGGAAAAATGTCTTCAACGTTAATAAAATGTTTTAATTTGGCTAAAACTGTGGGAAATGCAACGGTGAAGAGCTTACTGGCCGCTCCCAAGCAGCCATGGCAAGCCTGCAGGTGAGTCCTGTCAGACACAACCGTCTTTCACACAGCATTACCAACAAAAGCGCGCCATTGTTTTTATGTAATATGTAGTGCGGTCGCCCTGCAGACGCCGCATGCCCAGATGCAGATGCAGATGCACACTTCACCTGTTCGCCGGGATCTGATGGAGTTCTTCGACGACAAGAAGAACTGGAGCGAGACCGAGGTGAAGGTGGGCCGTGCCTGGCGGACAGAGGAGCTGCGTATCAAGTCCAACAAGGAGCTGCACCAGTTGTGGTTCGTGCTTCTCAAGGAGCGCAACATGTTGATGACCATGGAGCACGAGTGCAACGACAAAATGGAAGTATTCCCCAGCCCAGAGCGCATCGATAAGGTAGGCTATATAACCTGATCTGAGGTGAGCCGATATCAAGCCTAATTTCAGGTGAAGATTTCCATGGAGAACCTGGAGACAGTGGTTAGGGAGCGCAACAAGGCGTATCACCTGCTGGAGACAGGTGAAACCGGCGAGCGGCCCCAGAAGCCGGTGCAGAACGCATTCGGACTGAAGGTCTCCTACAAATCATGCGAACACGTCCTGCCACCCTTCATGAACCTCAAATGGATCAAGTCCCGCAACATTGGCTTCGGCGGCCGAGCCGTCAACAGATTCCTGCTGAAGTACCGCGAGAAGCTCTACAATGCCAAGCGCAAGGCCAAGAAGTGAGTGAACTGGGGTTGTATCGAGAATCCTTATTTCTAAAATCACAAACATTTGCAGCCGCTCCCGCAACGAAGTCATGATGATCCTGCGCCGCAATCCCAACTTCGACCTGGGCGTGCTGCGTCGCCAATTCCCCGATGTGAACGTTGACAAGCTGTGCAATGAGGACAAGGTTCGAGGTCACTATGTGCCCAAGGTTGGCGTTTGAGCTGGGACGATTGCAGTTATTTAGTGATTAAAACAACAAAATACCAACAACATTTTTAATCTTCATCAAACTTAATCTTGGTGCCCTGGAAGGCAGCGATTTTGGGTTTAAACTTCTGCTTTGCCACCCAAGAGGGATGCATGCCCTCGGTGGATAGAGGAGCAGCAGTCGGGGCTGGCGGATTAATCTGAGGAGCTCTTGTCTCAGACGCCTGCCCATCGTCGCCAAATGTGATCTTCTTGCCCTTAAAATCACTGATAATTGGTTTCTGCTGCTGCTTGGCCAGCCAGGAGGGATGGCGATCATCAGTTGGCTTTTTGGCTCTGAACTCCTGCTGTCTTTCGGCTCTTTCCTGGTAGGTGTTCGTCCTTCGCTCTTCGTGGCGAAACCTTTTGACTGGCGGCGGCCTCTGTTCCTCTTCAGCTTCACTGTCGTCGTCCCCGGAAAGAACGACAGCCGTGGATAAGTAGGGCTGACCCGATTCAGTAATGAAAAAGGGATCAACAACATGTGTAGGGCGATTATTGTCAGGTTTGGGTTCGTCTTCTTCAATGCTGGGCTGCCGTTCTGGCTTAGATTTAGGCTTCTGTTCTTTGGCCGGTTTTCTTTCCAAAGGCTTGGGCTTAGTTTCTTTCGGCTTGACTTTAGGCTGTGTCTGGTTGTCGTGAGACTGGTTTGTCTGTTTTTCATTGATTTTCTTTACAGATTCCTTTTGGAGCTTCTCTGGTTTCAACTGCTCGTCTTTTCGAACATTAGGTTTTTCTTTCTTTAGGTTCTTTTCCTTTTTAGCAAGTGGTTTTTCTGTCTTACGTATTTTATCCTTTTTCTCTGTAGATAGAGTTAGAGGTTTCTCTGGTTTGGTTGGAGATTTGGAGATCTCTGGCTGATCCTCTTGGCTTACTTCAAGAGTAGATGTATCCTCCGCTGCTGCTCCCTCAACTTCTGATCCTCCCACTTTATTTTGCTCCAACCACTCCAATCTGTTTTTGGTTAAGGCCTTCTGCTCTTTGAGCTCCTTGCGTTTCCTCTTCCGCTCCTCGGTGCGCTCTATTTTAACTCGGCGTTTGCTCGTCTCCAGGATCTCCTCGCGCCATTTGGCCTCCTTGTCTGTGCTTAGCTTGAGGGTCTCCACAAAAGTGTCCACCAATCCGTGCATCAGTTTATTTAGCCGCAGCATGGCGATGCCCAGTTCATCCGGAGTGGAGCGCTCGTTGGCAATAACCGCATTGGGATTTGTGCCCTCCTGGAGGAGCGATTGACGCACTATGTCCAGACATTTCAGGGCCTTCAGCTGAGCCAGGCATTCGCTGTTTTTACGCAGGCGAATCTTCTCCTTTTCACTGTCTGGATTTTTGGTCAGAACATTTTTCGTCTTTCGCAGCTTCTGGACAAGCTTGGCAATGGTCTGTGCTCGTGCCTTCTGGATCACTTTCTTGTTGGATATCACCTGTCCAAATTCTCATTGATGAAATGCTCAAGTTTTATTTAAAAGAGATTTATTTACCAAATTATTGAATTTCAATCTGTCCATGCTGCTTTCGTACAGTGGTGGTCGTGCTAAATGGTTTAGGTTTGCGTCTGGTCTAAGAAATGTTTGCCTTGGAGCTGCCAACCTTATTTGTTGTTTTAACATGGAATATGTCAATCTGTTTTCTTGGAACGATGTTTTAATTAATTATTTTTCTATTTGTCTTTAATTATTTTTAAGGAATTATATTATTAAAGTTAAGAACAAAGGCTCTCTTCTGCCCCCTAAAAATCAACAACCATCGATAATGCCGGCCTGAACACTGTCATCGATAGCTAATGTAATTATGTTATGTATAATGTAATATATTTTCATACTTCAGTTTACACGTAGTTGGAGATTGAAAAACACTAATGTTGCCCGCCAAACGAAACGAAAAGCAGGCAAAAAGAGCTGATGCCTGAGTAGCCCTTGGAAGATGCCCTAAAATATCCCACGATCCATAGCCATATCAAAAATAGCTGATGCCTGAGTAGCCCTTGGAAGATGCCCTAAAATATCCTACGATCCATAGCCATATCAATACAATCATAACCCTGATCAGTTTTGTTTAAAGTTCAAAACTCAAAATAGTCCTTTTTGTAACGACAATTCTAACAGAAATGTTAAAACATATTTTTGCCAACAAATGTTAGGAAACATCGATGTTGCGCCGCCAAACATCGATGTAACCGATGTTTTGAAATGACATCGATGTTGGCATCGAAGTTTCGCCACCTCTAACAGCTACGTACAGCCTAGATTTCTTCTACATTTTATACACGAATTTATTGTTTTTCTGCGCTGTTAATTGCAATTACCGCACGGCAAATAAAAGTCGCGAAATCAAGAACTACCGCCCGTCGTACCGTTAATCGCGAACGTGAAACTTGTCCAACAACAACTGCGCGCAAGAGCGAGAGAGAGAGGAGCGGAAAACAAGGAGGAGCTAGCTGAAAAGGCAGCAACAAAGAAGGTCCGCAGCCCCGGCGAAAAAAAAAGACAAAAACGCGATAAACAACGACAGTTGAATCCAGCCGAACTTAGAAATCCGCCTAATCCATAACAATATATGTGAGGGAGATAAAACAATGTGCATAAAGGGCCTGTGAGACTTTTAGTGCTAGTTTGAGTCATTGATCTCTTTTCTCCCGTCTGGCTGTGCATGCAGTGCGTGTGTGCTAGTGAGCGCCAGTCGCAGTGACTCAGTGGCGTGCATTAATTCCTGCCTAATTATGCCTTTAATTTATTTTAATCAATCTTAATTAATAATTTACTCCATTTGCAGCCCATACACACACTCACCCCCACACACACTCACACAAACGTGAACGGAGAGAGAGACTGCAGTATAAGAGGGAAACCATCGATCGCGAGAGAGAGACTGCGACTGTGACTGCGCCTGCAACTGTGACTGCGACTGCGACTCCGACTACGGGCAATCGAAAACGGACGCCAAATGACGGAATACAAACTGGTCGTGGTCGGTGCCGGCGGCGTGGGCAAATCCGCGCTAACTATCCAGCTAATCCAGAACCATTTCGTGGACGAGTATGACCCCACAATCGAGGACTCCTACCGAAAGCAAGTGGTTATCGGTGAGTAGAGCTCTAAAGGCTAAAGGTTGTAAACGGTGCAGCGGCCTCCTCATAAATCTTTCCGGACTTATTACTTATTTTCTCCCCACAGATGGAGAGACCTGTCTGTTGGACATCCTGGACACCGCAGGCCAGGAGGAGTACTCGGCCATGCGGGATCAGTACATGCGCACAGGCGAGGGCTTCCTGCTGGTTTTTGCCGTCAACAGTGCAAAGTCCTTCGAGGACATCGGCACCTACCGCGAGCAGATCAAGCGCGTCAAGGATGCCGAGGAGGTGCCCATGGTCCTGGTGGGCAACAAATGTGATCTGGCCTCGTGGAACGTTAACAACGAGCAGGCAAGAGAGGTAAGTGCTGAACTTCAAAGTTACCAACAACCATTCCCATTTCCATTCATTCACAATTCCGATCATTAGGTGGCCAAACAGTACGGCATTCCATACATTGAGACATCCGCCAAGACGCGCATGGGCGTGGACGATGCATTTTACACACTGGTGCGCGAGATCCGCAAGGACAAGGACAACAAGGGACGAAGGGGCCGCAAAATGAACAAACCGAATCGTAGATTTAAATGTAAAATGCTCTAAACGGCCTCGCATTGGTTATTATTCACTTTTTATTTCATCAAATGTCGCCTGTTTGTCTGTATGTGCGTCGGCGGATCGCCGATCGTCTCGGAATAGATGGTTTGTCCGTTCTGGACACACAATGCGAAAAACACACACATGTGGGAAAGTGTTGGTCGGTGCAATTGTCAGATAAAGAGAAAGAAATTGTAATTAATTTAAGTAACTAGAGTTTTATGTACGTCGAAATGATTTTGTGAATGTGTGTGTTTTGTGTCGTTTGAAAGGCTGCGAGGCGCCCTTTTAAGAGTATTAACAATAACAAGCAAACAAAAACGAACGAAGCAAATCGAAAATGAAAATGAATATGTACCTCTACATAAAAACTATGAATACTGTTGTAACTGCCTTGGTTCAGCTGCTATAACCGTTTGTTTTCAACCAGCACTAAACTTGATTCTATGTTGTTTGTACTTTGCCAGATAATCCGTGCTTAAACAGATATTGTGAATTTTTAAAACACTGTTATCAATTGATTTTAGCCCCCGTCATGTACAATCTTTTTCCGCACACACGCACGAGCAGAATTCCATTAGTATTCATCATTAGAGAACAAACAAACGAAATACCGATAAGCTCACGGCACTTTTCGCACAAAACAAGCAAACTTGCTAGCGCCAAACTAGATTTCTGTTCGGTTTAACACAATTTTGTGGTGCTATGATGATAAAATTATAAACCGCATGAGTTCTTGAGATATGCCTTTCTTTCTACTTACTATACCCATACTGACAGATCAATCGAAGAGAAAACAAGCAGCCAATTAAATTTACATTATATAGTTTGCTTTAAGCTTTTTATACATACATACATACATACATTTAATATTTAATTTTTTGTATTAATTTTTGCCATACAAAAAGGAATGAAATAAATCGATTGTGTGTACTATTTAGCCAATGTTACAATTTTGAACAACAATCCGATGGGTATCATTGGTGATACGAAGCAAGTCCATCTGGGGTTAATTTATTTTTAAATAAAAAAATATATTTAAAAAATGTTATCTATAATACATAAAAGCTAGGTAATATCTTCGTTTTTTTTTAATATTTGATCCATGCATTATTTAAACAATGAAATTAATATTTTTAAACAATCTCGAGACCGCTATATTTCTTTTATCGAAAATTCGAAATAGTTTTCGGAAAAAGCCGATTGGTACCATCGCCTAGTGCGAATACCCCAAATATAAATATTTTTTCGAAATATATCGATATTGATTTATATTTGATGATAAGCAGATGTTAAGAATTTTAACAAAGGGGTTGCAAGAACTGGAGTAAGAAGTTAAGAGTGGCAAGAAAATATTGTTAGGGACGAATAAACATCGTTGACATCGGCCAGTAGAAAGAATATAATCTCGTAGCAAACACCGATAGGACCGATACCTTGAAAGCATCGATGACATCGATGTTGGCATGGATGTTTCCCCATCTCTATTTCAAGTCCCTAAGAAAAGAAGTCGAATAATTGTCAGCTCTAAGAAAAAATTCCTTGGGTTTTTTTATTGATCTCGGAAACTGTAATTTTGCAAGAACTTTTATTGTTTAATAGTATCTAAGACGTAATCAGATTGCTAAAAGCGACTCGCATTGATTACAAGCAGAAAGGTAAGTTACTGGTGCTGATTAGAACGTTAGCGAAAAGGTCCATTGACGCGTCCGCCATTTTGTTTTCGCCGACGCCGCTCCGGTGTGTACTATAAATATTACAATCACTACAAGCACAGGGAGTTCCTTTTGCAGCCGACAATGAACATGGACGCAGGAAACTCCGTGGAGAACCGTGAGAAGGAGCGCGATCGTCGTGGACGCGGAGCACGTGGCTCTCGTTTCTCGGACGCGGATGGCAATGGAAACGCCGGTGGCAACCAGGGTGGCGGTGGCGGGGGAGGAGGTGGCAACAACATCCGCGACAGGAGCCGCGAGCGGCGCAACTGCCGGGTGTACATCTCGAACATTCCGTACGATTACCGCTGGCAGGATCTTAAGGACTTGTTCCGCCGCATCGTCGGCTCCATTGAGTACGTGCAGCTGTTCTTCGACGAGAGCGGCAAAGCGCGTGGCTGCGGCATCGTGGAGTTCAAGGATCCGGAGAACGTGCAGAAGGCCATGGAAAAGATGAACCGCTACGAGGTGAATGGCCGTGAGCTGGTGGTCAAGGAGGATCACGGCGAACAGCGAGATCAGTACGGTCGGATTGTGCGGGATGGCGCTGGAGGCGGTGGTGGAGGTGGAGGAGGCGGCGGCAATGGCGGCAACAATGGAGGAGGAGGAGGCGGTGGTGGCCGCGATCACATGGACGATCGTGACCGTGGTTTCTCCCGCCGAGACGACGACAGATTGTGAGTACCCCCATTATGCTAATCTCCCACATTGTGTACTTTTTCGATGTTCTGGAGCAGGAAAGCAGAGTTCGTAGCACGCATAAATTACCCAATTCTCACAATCTTCCTTCCCAGCTGGCAGTGGTTTCTATTACATATTAATCAACAGTTGCCTTTTCAACATTGAAATGAATTATTTAATTTAAGAAATTTTCATATAGGTCACGCACAAATCTCAGGACCAGTTGTTGCCTTTATTTATTAGCTAACAGCGGAATGTTTTTTGTATTTTGAAAAGTTTACGTGCGCCGTGTTCTTGATTGAGGTTCTCTTAAGTACTCGTATCAAAGTTGATGAATTTGCTTTTGAAATTTGCAGATGCGGCACTTGCATTACTAACTACTCGCTGATTAACTGAATAGTCAAGACCTGTTTTATGACAAAGTGGCAAATTTCTGTATTGGTATAGAGATGGGTTTTTTTTTATATTACTACAACATCAGTTGAATAGCTTTACA